GAGAGAGAGAGAGAGGGAGAGAGTATGTAGGATGTAGGTCAGGCTCCTATTACACCTAGGAAGCCCACGTATAAACCTTCTAAAAAATACCCTGTATGCACCCTATATAGGCTATCTAACACCCATTTCAACCCAATGAGCTACAAACCCCAAGGTCCCAAGCCCATACCTCTAGCATCCCATCCGACTCCATCGTGTTGCATCACATCACATCGTGGCATGCCACAGCCGTGCACCGCCGTGCAGCACAGTTTGGCGAAGTGCAGCACAATCAACATGTTGCAAAGCCACGTCCAAACTCACACCGAGATACACAGCCAACCCATACCGCACCACGGTGCAGTGCACTAGGATAAACTGCAGCCCATCACCTGGCATCAGGTCGCAACACTTAACATCACTTCACATCACATCACTTCCCATCACCTCACTACACTGCACATCATGTCACATCCTCACACATCACCACGGACACTAAACAAACACGTCATGGTTGGCACTTCGCTGCTGCAGGGTGTGCCAAAGGAAGCTCTCCATGCCAACAGCAAGAAGGACACTTTCCACATGTTCGGAAGCCAGAGATGCAGTCAGACTTTGTATGAGCGCCCGACGTAGTAGTGCATGCCAGGTTCTGGATGCCGAGACGAAGCGCCTGAATGCTCTATCTGCCACGCTGGGTAGACTCTGCAAGCCTAAGGCAAAGAGCGGGAGACTTGATGTCCCCCAAGAAATCTACGAGCAGTGGATGAAAGCCGGAGAGCCCCGAAAGATCCTTCTCAGCATGCTGATCTCCTGCAACGGAGACAAGGACCCATCCAAATCATGCCCCTGTGCATTAGCCCAGCAGAACTACGTATCCCTTTGAGTGTGCACAGGAAGCTTTCAAGAAGAAGATCGAGATCCAGATGCAACGGTCCAGGAAGAAAACCATGACTGTCGAGGCTGGGTTTTACTCTAAGAAGGACATGAAGGAGGTCCTTGGCTGGTCTCCGTCGTGGTCTTACTTCAGCTACGAGCTGTCAGCGAGAGAACAGAAGGACACAGAGAGAGAGAGAGAGAGTGTGTGTGTGTGATTGTCTGGCCCAATCGATGAAATCTAGATGCTGCTCTGCTCTCTTGCCAAGGGAGCGGATTCGTGGTGCAGTGGCTTTCTGCAGCAACCCCAAGCGGTGCAAAACTTTCATCAGGCAGGTGAGACAACTTAAGTTGGAGTGTCCTGCCAGCCCTCTTGTCTGGTTTGTGCACATGTAATATGACCATGTCTGCCAGACGTGACAAGTACGAGCAGAGTGTGAAGCTTTACTGGGTGGACACGAAAATCTCCGGGAAGTATGAGGAGGAGGCAAGCGAGCTGTACAGGGAGACGATAACCGGAGAGGAGGATGTGACGGAGGCCACTGTTGGTGGTACGATGAACCAGGACGATCCAATGGACCTCGGGGGGGAGACAAAAGAGGAGACGGAGGAAAGCGAGGAAGAGGATGATGGAGCCAGCAGATCGCACAAGCCCAAGGCAAACAAAGCAATCGAGGAATCTGCCATGGAGGACCATATATCACTCTAAGTTTTCGACATTGCATAAAACGCGCAACCCACGGATATCAGACTTGGTGCCCTGCATTCTGAATCACCAGGACATAGAGAATGTCCAAGCCGTCATGAGCAACCTCTTGAAGGCACAGGGCCGACTCGATGCCACATCGAAGAGGCTGACTGATCTGGGTACTGAGGAGGCCCAGGAGAGTCTATGCTGCAGCTTACCCGGGGCCTTCAAAGCTTTCCTGTTTCCCTCCCACGATGTGACGATTGCAGCATGCCACTGATCATACCATTGTTTCCGCTGCTTATGCTTATATGCTAAGGGCAAGTGACAAGCTGATGATGCAGAAGAGCAATCTCATGAAGCATCACGATGATTTGGCCGATTTGAAATCCCATTTCGATGGCCACGGAGACTTCGATGAGAAGTCTCTTGGTTGAGTATCTTTGCCCCGAACGACACAAACATTATCGCCTCCCTGGCACCCTCTCAGGAAGGCACAGCAGCTGAAGAAAGTCATGCAGCAGGTCGAAATTGCGTCCCCAGACTGAAAGATGTAGTGCTTGCTAGCATCTGAACGATCTCTCCGAGCTGAGGTGCAGCCGGGCCATCATGGAAGACGTGAAACACAAGAAGCCATCAGTCTTGTTAATCAGAAGTACCCCAAAACTTATGAAAACCCCAAACCCCTCATGTATTCAGCTTGTGCTGAGGACACTCCTGAAGCAGGGCAAGGCTCCTGCCGCAAAGGCGGCTCCGAAGGTCGCTCCGAAACCTGCGGCGGGGAAGCGTGGAGCTACCGGCAAAGGTGGCAAACCTGCCAAGAGGGCAAAGAAGTGATGGGTCAGGACTCCCCAAATCCTAAACTGCAAACTTCTGTGAATTGTTGATTTCGCAGGATCTTACGTGATGGAGCTCGCTGTTGCCGAGCCTTTTGGTGCAGCCGCGATGACAGCATGACGCGTGTCCTGCGCGGTTTCAGGGTTGAGTAAGATCTATGCTGCAGGCATCGGAGAGGAAGGGCCAGGGATCCATGGTAGTTGTGATCCGAGTGCTTATACATCGGTAATACTGTTGTTGTGACGGGAGCATGGATATTTCGGTTGGGGCCTGCCCTGCTTGTATGCATGGGTCTTTCGAGTTGCTGCTATGTTGCAAATTAAGCTGAGCAGAAAGTTGGGACTGCCCACGATGCTTAGCACTGGAGTTCCGACCATGGGGCCTGGCTCTGAAAGAAAGAGTGCCTGACCGCTTCTGACTGACACGACAAACCCTTGCAATAGACTGGCTAGCTGAATTTAGTAATCGCACTCACTTCCTTGCAACGTCCTTCGCAGGTGGGGCGAGCAAGCGCAGGCGCACTGATGGTCCTGTGGCTAAAGCACTGGTGCAGTCGGTGGTGAAGGGAGTGTTCTGGTTTGACAATGAGCAACACTGGTTTTTGCTTTTATGGTCGTCTGAATGTTGTTCAGAGCACAGAGCCTCTATAGATCTGTTTTACTCGATGATGTTGTTGCTGCGATGTTGTGGCGATTAAATGTGACAAATCGTCTCAGGTTTCGGAAAAGCATGCTTGCTCCCTGATGGGAGCCGTCTGGGAGGAGATCAAGGGTTTGCCAGGGGCAGAGTCATTGCCAAGTGCAGACATCATCCAAAAGGCTGCTACCCTACACAACACCCGTCACGAATGTCGTCTTGGTGATGCATTCGAAGAAATGAAGCTGTCTGCTGCCATACCCATCAGCTATGTTGATGTCGGAACTGGGGTGCAACATCCGGTCTTCCGGGTCAGAGATTTCCTATCGTCTTTATCAGAGTGCGGCAAAAGTGATCTGTTGTTTTGTGGGCACCCAGAGTGTGATTATGAAGATTTCTGGGAGCATTGGCGCCTGATCCAGCCACAGCATCCAATCTTCTCGAAACACGCTCGAAAAGATCGGCTTAAATGGTGCATACCGGTCTTCGTCTACGCAGACGAGGGCACATCACAGAAGCGCCGTGGTTTGATGGTGATTCAGTTCCAGCCTATTTTGGGACGTGGCAGTTCACGGGGAGAAGACCTCAACATGATCAACAACAGCCTAACCACAAGGTTTTTGTATTCGGTGATGACAAGCCACACTTATTCGGGCAAGCTCAAGAAGAACAAACCACTGCTGAAACTGGTGGAACATTTTGCTGCTGAGATGGGCTCTTTGTTTGAGGAGCCACTCCCGATGAAGTGTGCGAACGGCAAGACTCGCCAAGTCCGTTTGGTTTGCCTCGGCTTAAAGGGTGACCTTGCAGCACTGGTCAAGATAGGGCAGCTGCAAAGAAATTTTCAGAGGGATACCCCGTCGAAGACCTCTGGACCTGGGATCTGTCATCTTTGCCACGCAGGCCAGGAAGGGCATCTTTGGCACAAGGTTACCTTCAACAATATGTCATCTATGCGAGAGAACCTGGAGCCACCTTGGATTCGAGAGCCCTCGCTGATTCGTTTGATTCCTCAGTCGGAGCTGCACAAGCCACAATTCTTTCAGCTTGACCTTTTCCACTGTGCACATAAAGGTGTGTGGGGTGATATTGCTGCAAACACGATCGCATCTCAGCTTTCAGTATGTCTAGAAGCAAGCCCCTTTTGTAGTTGAACACCCGCCTATAGGATATGTATAGGCTAATTGTGCTGACCCCGCCTAACATCCCTAAAGGTTGCACTTTACGAGTACAATGCCTTGGGCAAGCTGTCGGTCGACAAAGCAATGTGTGCAATTTTCGATGATTGCAAGGAGTATTGCCGTGAGAATGGACTACAGCTGCACATGACTTCTTTAACTCGTGGTGCTGTGGGCTGGGAAACCGCATCATCTTTCCCTTCAGCGTGCCTTGGGGTGAAATATTCGGACTTTTGTTTTGCTAAGTCCACATAAAGCTTTCTGCCCAACAAGGTGCTGGTTTAAAGGAGCCGACACAACAACTTTGTGCATATACCTGGAAGACAAGCTTCGCGAAGTTTTGCCAACCATATCTTCCGAAAACAAGCCCTACTTCGAGACCATGCTCCGAATGCTCGGAAACTGCAATGTATTCATGAGGACCCTGTATCATGCAAGCTTGTGGCTGCTGGACAATGAACGGTCTGCAGCCATCTCATCGGGCATGGAGGTGATCAAAGATTTCAAACGATGTGCTCTACATGCTTTCAAGGAGCAGAAGACTCGCTGGAAGATTCAGACGAAAATGCATTTCATCGGCGAAATTCTCTTTCGTTTGGAATTACATCGACGACAGAAACTTCCTTCCATGAACCCATTGGCGACTGGGACTCAGGTCGATGAAGACTTTGTTGGCGCAGTCTGTAGCATGAGTAGAACAGTGTCCGGGCGAAAAATTCATCCCCGGACACTTCGCAAGTATGCGTTAGCTCTCGCCAGCCTTTGGTGATTTCTGTCGAACCCCCGTTCGGTCCTCTTCAGCTGAACTTCAGCAGCAGCCGTGGCAGCAATGCGCCGGGAAAGATCGGAAGTGGAAGGGAATTCTATGTTTGGAAGCTTCGGGGTAGGGCTTTCAGATCCTTCGAAGGTTTTCTTTGAGAGTTTCAAGAGCTCCTGTGTCACTTCTGATTGGTCTGGGACAACTTAAGCTGATATCTGAGCCTCAATCCTTCAGAACCCGAAAACATGCAACTTTGGGCTCTGTGTCCTGTGGCACTTTTCAAGCCCGAAAAGTAGCACTTCCTGAAGTGCCGGAAATAAATGCACACCAGGCTTTCGAGGTAGGGTTTAGGGTTTTGGGTTCCATGACTCAATGAACTTAGTGGCTTTTAGGGTTTAGGGTTTAAGGGTTTAGGGTTTAGGGTTTCAGGGTTTAGGGTTTAGGATTTAGGGTTTTGGGTTTAGGACTTGGGGTTTGGGGTTTAAGGGGGATACACCTTAAACTATTTTAGGATCCGTAATTAAGATTTCAGGTATGGTTATGTTCCTTCATGAAGCGATGTTGGAAGAGTTTCGTGGTCCAGGGCCAGTCGAGGATTCAGTACTCTTGGGGTAGCATCTTTTGTGGGGCTGTTCCTCTTTATAAGATTTTATAAGGCCCCTCCAATCCTGCAAGCGGGCAGTTCTCTAAACTAGGGGTTTTTTGGGTCCCAAAGATACTACGACACCCTTATAAACAGGATCCCAAAAGGGAGCCTAGTTTAGAGAACTACCCAAGTAAAGCCCTAAATTAAACCCTAAACCCTGAACCCCAGTATACCCTAAACCCGAAACCCTGAACCCTAAACCCTAAACCCAAGTAGTACCCAACACCCTAAACCCTAAACCCTAAACCTGCAAGTAGTGGCCAATGAATGAAGGGCTTCGCCGGAGCAGAGCTCAACTTTTTCGACTCCTGACGTAAAGGATCAGGGAACTTAGTAGGGTTTAGGGTTTAGGGTTTAGTTTTTTAAAATGAATTTTAGGGTTCAGGGTTTAGGGGTTTAGGGTTACAAGTCCGGTATCTTCATGTATGGGTGTACATGTATGCATGTACACAGGGCGTTGTACAACCCTACTTACTAAGTTGGCTTTGGCTTGTCTGCGGGACAAGTGGCGCAGGAGTCGTGCCCCATGTCTGCGGACCGCAGCAGGCCCTAAAGCTAAACTTTTGTGCGGATTTCTTACACGAAGGCATCTGTCCCAGGGGGTACGACAATTACAGATCTTGCTGTTTCACTGTTTTTTTCAATCTCTCATACACACCATCTTGCATCTACTAGAGACTGTCGTTGGGCTTAGAACTAGTTACATTACTCGGAGCCCGCTTTGTTAAGTCCCAAACCTCATGCTCCAAACCTCAATGTCTATTTATGAAGGGTTTAGCGTTTCGGGCAAACTCCGCACGACGACTCTATATTGATTCTCAAAAAGGCCATCATACAGGGGCCTTTAATAGGTAGACGAGGATTCCTTTGATCGGATTCCTTTAGCTGACGAACAAATGAAGCTGAAGCCCTAAATTAAAACCCTAAACCCTAAACCTAAATCCCTAAACCCTGAACCTTAAACCCTAAACCTAAATCCTTAAACCCTAAACCTAAATCCCTAAACCCTAAACCCTAAACCTTAAACCCTAAACCTAAATCCCTAAACCCAAAACTCTAAACCCTGACCAACAGGTGAAGCTAACGCCTAGGGCCCAAAGCCCGGACCGACCCGACGACTGCACAAAGTTCGGGCCAAGGGCTTCGAGTCGCGGCTCTTTGTTTAGGAGTTTAGGGGTTTAGGGGTTTGGGGGTTTGAGGGTTTAGGGTTTAGGGGTTTAGGATTTGGGGGTTTAGGGTTTAGGGGTTGAGGGGTTTGGGGATTTAGGGGTTTAGGGGCTTAGGGTTTTAGGGTTTGGGGCTATCTAAAGGGTTTGAGAGCATAAGCTTAAGGAATTTGGGTCTAATTTTGGGTTTTAGGTGTTAGTGCTTAGGGTGCGTGGAGCGTAGGGTTGTCGGGGCAATTAAAGGGCTCAGGGCTTCTACGGTAAAGGCTGTATATATAGGGTCTAGAGTGTTGGGTCTAGGGAGGGTTGAAATTAAAGGGTTTGAGGGCGGTACAGGGTTTCGGGACATCTAGGTTTTAAGGTACAGCGTATACTGCCTAGGAGTTCTAAGGACGGTTCTTGTTGGCCTTGGGGGTTTGTCTAGAATCTAGGATTTGTGCTTTTCAGTGTTTGGCACTATAAATAAAGCTTTCGTGGCTCGGGCTTTAAGATACGGTTGAGCTTTTGAGGGGATTCTCGGGTTCGGTTTTAGGTTTTGCGCTTTTACTGGTTGTAGGATACAGTTTAGGGTTTACGGTTTTACCGGTTTTGGGATGTTGATTTCCGGTGATAGAACTTAGAACTCAGATGGCTTCGCAGTTTCTAGCACGTCGGTAGTTCTCCAAAACAGGGTCTCTTTCGGGGGTCCTTTTCAAAGGCGCCGAACGGGGCCCAACAAAATTAGAGAACTACCCATGTGGGGTTCGAGGCTTGGGGCTTTAGAAACTTACATTGGGTTACCTCAGGGCTCCAGTTACTTACACTTACTTACACATAGTAGGTTACTAACCGTATAATGTACAACCCAGTAATGGCCCAGTAACCCATTATCTAGGTAACTGGAGATAGGAGGGACCCCTAGAAGGGACCCCTAATCCTAATACCGTATATAACCCTTATATACCCCTTATATAGTCTCATAAAGCCCCTATATAACCCCACGGGTACCTTTAAGGGTCTCTCCTTTAGTCCCTTGATAGAGTTAGTTGCTGCAGGTCAAAGGATGGCGAAGAAGATCATAGTGACTCAAGCCCCCTGGGTAAAGGGGTTAGGGTTGGCATGGGGGGCTTTGTCAGCTACGGCCTTAAATCCTAAAGCCCTAAACCAGAACACCCTAAACCCTAAACCTAAATCCCTAAACCCTAAATCTTAAACCCTAAACCCTATAAACCTTAAACCTTTATGGACTTTGGCGGCTTTCGGGAATCGGGCTCCTGAACCCTAGGCCTAAGCCCGCATCCTTCAACCTAAGCCCTGAACCCTTGCCCTCTGCACCAAACCCTCCTCAACACTACTTTAACCAACCAAGACCGATTTTTTGTAGGGTCCCTATAAAATCCATATTCGTGTTAAAAATAAGCACCTACAAAAAAAGTAGGTTTTGGTAGGTTAAGGTACACCCTGAATCCAAAACATTGCACCTTTTCGACTCCCAACCCTGAACCCTAAACCCTAACCCAGAGAACCCAATACCCCTTAATTAAGGAACATACCAAAAATCATAATATTAAGGCCCCTAAATTGTATATTCCTTACTTAAGGGGTATTGGGTTCTCTGGTGGGAAACTTATACCTCCCCAATAAGCCAGGGATAATGAAAAGGTTAAACTTTCAGATTGGCTACTTTAATATCCCAAAATGCTGAAAGGTTGAGTATTGGAGAACTAAGTACATCCAAAAACCCTAGACTCTCGACCCTAAATCCTATACCCTAAACCCTATCAAACCCGAACTCGGGCGGCAGCTCCGTTTTTCCTCTCAGCCGCGCGCCGCCGCCTTCACCAGATCCGGGTCAAGGACGACTTCGAAGCTGGACAAGATCTCCTTAGGGTCTACCCGAGAAAACGATGTGGGCTTGGGGTTTGGGGTTCTGGCTTCAGGGTTTATAAGATCTTTTCGCAGTCCAGTGTAATCGAGCTACCCTAGGCTCCATAGTGGTTCCTTTTTTGTGGTTGGTATTTAGGACCCTATAAGGTAATCCCAAAACGAACTACTATGGAGTTTATGGGTAGGGTTTCGGGGTTTAAGCTTTACCAACACTTAGGGAATTTAGGGCAGTAGGCCTCCGGTGGTTCTTAAAAAGCTTGGGGTTGAAGATAATGGGTTTCGGATTTAAGCTTTAGGGCATTAGGGGCTAGTCGGGTTTTTGGGCTTTGGGCTTAGTACTTTCGGAGAACCGACTTCCCTTAAGGGGTTCCTGTAAGGGTGCCTTTGAAGGCCTCTAGGAGGGCTACTATCGGGAATCCGATCTCCCTGGGTACTGCCAGAGCGCGTGTCTAACAAGGCAGCGGGATCACCCAACCATCAGACTCAAGAGCTTTCCAGAAATCCTCGCAGTAGATTTCTCCGTGCTCGTTGCTCCCACAGAGTTATTATTGCATGTCACGGGGAGGGCCTCCTCAAAAGCACTTGGAGCTGTCCCTTCTCAAGGAAGGGGCGAGGATCGAGCCGAGGGCTTTGCAGACGCAGCTCCACAAATCGAGAATGCCGAGTGCTCCACCATCAAAGTTTAGGGTTTAGGGGTTTAGGGGTTTAGGATTTAAGGTATTTAGGGTTTAGGGAATGGTACTCTTCTTAGTTGATTGGAGAAAGCACTGCTGCTGCGCTTCTCCTAGTTCGCCACGGGTTTCGTCGTGAAGCTGAGGTTTGGCATGCAGCAGACCCTGTGCACACCCTGCTTTGCCGCATGACTCCTCGTGTGAAACCCCGAATGTCGGTCAAACCAGAGGGAAGAAGAAGATCACGTAAACCAAACTTCGATAATTAGTAGGGTTGCAGAGGTAGGGTTTAGGGTTTAGGGATTGCAGAGTTAGGGTTTAGGGTTGAGGGATGAGGGATGTTCAGGGTGTAGCAATTACAGTTCCGCGTCCAGCATTCGCCCTCACCAAAGAAGCAAAAGACAACTAGTACAAACGACACTGGATGGTGTACCCTGAATCCTGAACTCCATGTCATGTCGTCGAATGAGGACAGAAAAACTTGCGGCCTTTAACAGTTATCGTGCTTTCTCGGTGTTAACCTGGCGTAAACGTAATAAAACCAACCTACAAGTCACATGCTCTAAATCACCTCACATCTTGCGGCGCGTGGATCTTTGGGCTGGTAGCAAACTCGAAGAAGATCGCGCTGCCCAGCAGTCTTCTTCGAAGCACCCAACG